TATAAGTCTCTGTGTTTACTTGGTTGGGTCTGAGCGGCTGTGGGACTGGCAGGTGACAAAGATTTGTCCTGACTGTGGGCAAGGCAGGAAAACTCTAGCTACAGGGTGACCCCCCAACCATTAAATTATTTTTGTTACAACTTCATAACTGTAATTTTGCTATTGTTATGAATTATAATGTAAATATCTGTCATTTCCGATGGACTCAAATGACCCCTGTGAAAGGGTTGTTTGACCCCTGGGAGTCAAGACCCACAATTTGAGAACCACTGACATAGAAAGACCCTCCCTCAAAATCAAACAAACAAACAAAAATTGGTCATTATGTATCATGGTTTCTACTAAATTTTCTGGGGATTTTATTAACTGAATCTTAAGTTTCAATAATGAAATGTTATATTTAAGTTGACTTTAACAAACATTTTCTCTGAGGATCTAGGAGAGAAACAAAGTTAGAAAAAAAGCATCTGAATAGCTACTGCCATCAGGATCCCAGAGCATGGAAGGCATCTGTGGTGTAGCAGGGATGACACAAACCAGGGAGAGGGGTAGAGGCCCTCACCAAACACCCTTCTTTATCTCCCATCTTCCAGCCATGAACACCTCCCTACCATCTGAGAAAATAAGGTAGGAAATCTTAAAGAGCATTGAGAGATGGTAGGAAGAGAACAGAGGCCAGACCTCAGCTGAGGATCTGTCAGAGCTGGACAGGACACTGGCATGCCAGGAAATTGAAAGGCCAGAGGACTGGAAAGTCTAGAAACCACTTACTAGCAAGAGCAGTTCTCCCAGAGTGACACAACAGCCTGCCAAGGGGCACTGGGTCATGTACAGGCTTTCTCCCTTCCATTTTTTCCAAAAACAAACAAACAAAGAAAAACACAGTAAAACTATTTAAAAGGCCAAATAGATTATCTAGCAATACCGTGCCACTTTGCATAAAGGACTTAACATCCTCAAGTTTAGTATCAGTTTATGAGTGTTGGGGTGTTGGAACAAAGTTCCATGGAGTGATGACTGTTCATAAAGCACGTAGAGAATCAAAATGACATGGAATGGTGTAATCTGGGGGCAAAATGGGGTCTCTGCAGAAAGATTCTCTGCAAAACTGACCTTCCAGTTGAATTCCAAGTAGGAAAGGAGCTCACACATAAGGCAATTAGAAGAATAAACATTGGAAGCAGAAGACAGATCCCTGGGCCCACACACTCCAGGCATCGTCAAACAACCACATGCAAGCAGCACAATGGGGCACAGACAGCTAGCTAAGGGTACAGGATGGCTCTAGTAAGGCCTGAGGGGGGAGGGGTGGCGGGGCAAGACTTGGGAATCAGGAGAGAATGAAGTGTCAGTGTAATAGAGAGCTACTGGAAGATCCAAGTGGCATAGATCTAGTTTTCTTTTTAAATGAAGGGTCTTGCTATGTGGCTCCGACTAGCCTCAAACTTATGATCCTCCTGCCTTGGCCTGAGTGCTGGGATTACAGGCCTGTGCCATCACAATTGACCTCATCTGCATTCTAACAGTTTCCTGGGGCTGCTGTGAGAGAAAGTATTTTAAGTGTATAGGGTGGGTGTGAAGTACTGGGAGGGGTGGATACTTAGAACAGCTGGAGGTCACCCAAGTCAGACATCTGTTCTAGTGAATGTCAGCCACACACAAACAATGTCCATCTCATTTCTCTCTTACCTCCATCTCTACTCTTTTTTCGACTTTACACACTAAGCCTCTTTGAATCCACTTTTCTCCATGTCCCTACACCCATCCTCAGGCCCCCACCCACAGTTCAGGCCATCATCGTTCCCAGTCTGAAACGAGGAGTCTTACTCAAACGCTGGCCTGGTCAAACACTTCAAGAGTCTGACACTCCTTGCAAGGCACTCATTGTGTAAGTCCCCTGCTTCACTTCTATCAGCCTACCCTGTCCTTCCAATAGCGTTTGAAAAAGACCTGGTCTGTGGGGTGCTCCCATTATCCCTCTGTGTGTCATTGCATTTGCCACAACCATGGCGGATGTGACTACTCGCCACTAGACCAAGCAGCAAATGTTGCATTCTTGAGGAATCTTCAGTGCTCAACACTGGCCACAAAACTCTCTCGTGCTCCTTAAAAATGAATGGATTTGCCTTAAAAACTAACAAACAGAAACCTCATAAGGAAGGTCTATGGTTTAATAATTAACTGTGAAGCTGAGGGCCCGGAACATCAGCTTGGATCTCAGCCTGCCACCTAGCCGCTGTGAACCCACTTTCTGGCTGACAACCTCGGGTCAGCACACACTGTCTCCTCGTGCCAGGGAAAAGTTCCTGAGAGGAGTCAGCGCGGGGCTTCGGGAGGTGGCATCTTGGCTCAGGACGCCCGTTCTGACACTGCTCGGTCCATCCCACTTTCTCTGCTGCAGTTCGGGGACCCGGTAAGATCTGAAATCCCATCCTGGAACTTCTCTCTCCGCTCCCTTCACAACTGTCCCTCACCTGGAACCCTCTGGGACCCGGGACCTCAGCCTCCACCACAGGCCGCATCTTCCGTTTTCTTAGCTACATCCGTCTCCCGGAACCGCTCCTTCACCATGGTGCCGGCTGCTGGGCGCCCTTCTCGGGCTCCGACTACAGAAACCACTGTCGCTGCAGCTTCCCGGGCGCTTCTGGATTTAGGGCTCAGGGAGCAGCCGCTGTCCCTCGGCCACTGTACAGCACCGCACGTGCCGCTTCCTCTTCTGCCCCGGGGTCTGTCCAGAGAGGCTTCTCACCTGCTGCTGTGCGACCTCCCGCTACACCGCCACCTACTGGAGCGTGCTTAAAATGCACCAGAGCGCGCTAATCAAAAAAGAAAAAGAATCCCCCTTTCTGGTGGGTTTCTCAAAATGACAGTGAAATGCTGCACTTTGTTATCTTAAAGCCAATAGATAGGTAGATAGATAGATGATAGATAGATAGATAGATAGATAGATAGATAGATAGATAGATAGATAGATAGATAGATAGATAGATAGATAGATACATAGATACATAGATACATAGATAGATACATAGATACATAGATACATAGATAGATAGATAGATAGGTAGAGGTAGGTAGGTAGGTAGGTAGAGTAAATAAATAAATACATCAAATGAAAAACATAAAATCAATATTTTGTGAATGAAGACCATTGGAAACCAAAATCCACCTGCCAAAGAAAATAGATTGCTACTTCACTAAATCTATTACTGAAAATTCTCAGTTGTCTTTTTTTTATTTTATTTTATTTTGTTTTATCTCTTTATTAAGAAATTTTTTAAATATTTTTTTATTTTACAATACTATTCAGTTCTACATAATAGCCACAAATTCCCTTGTTCTCTCCCTTCCTGCCCCCCTCCCCTTCCCCCCAGCCCACCCCCCATTCCTACCTCCTCCTGATCAAGGTCTCCCCCAAGGACTAGGATCGACCTGATAGACTCAATCCACGCAGGTCCAGTCCCCTCCTCCCAGATTGAGCCAAGCATCC